ATATTATATATTTATAATACACAATTATATATATATATATATATATATATATATATATATATATATATATATATATATTTTTTTTTTTTTATGAAAGGGATTTGTGCATATAAAAAAACTGCCGTAACTTTTGTTTTTTGACGACTTCATAAAGGGTTTTCTTTTTTGTAGGGTATTTAAACTACTTATTTGGGCTATGGATTATGAAAGTTATTATATTGTATGCTAGTTCTTAGCTAATTATTCAAACCATGAATCTGATGATTGGGCTATCGATTAATCAAGTTATTATATTGTATGCTTGTTTTTAGCTAATTATTCAAACCATGAATCTGAGGATGTCGACAAAAAACCGTTAACTCATGTCTATTGTTTAATAGATTATTATTATTTAGAAGCTTAATAATGTGCAATTTCTCATGGAGGCACAAAGGGCATGGGTCATCACAAATTTTACATGTTCTAGCCCTGTTTATAATTTTCCATTTTACTTTAGGTGTCCTATTTGTTTCCTTCAGATGCCAGAAATATTTAGATAAGGAAGTCTGATTTCTTTTATTTATATTAATGAAAGAGCACTTATGCTGCCTCCATCTATCTTTAAAATCATTCTTCGTGGACCCAATGTATATCTTATTAGTGCTAGGACTCTCAGTGGATGATATAGTACATTGGTATACCACAGATTTAATGCAGCATTTATTTTCTAATGGGCCGCCTTCTAGGTTTCTACAATTACACAATTTTTCCCTTTTATTGTCTGATTTAAGTGCAGGGTTTTTATTAATACTATTCAGGCGTGGGGGTTGTTCAAGATCTTATTATTGTGTTTTTGATTATACGTTCAAGATTTTCAGAGAAGCTGTAACTCAATTTTAGGCTGTTCTTATTGAATATATTACTAAGCTTACTATTGGTGGGGAAGTGTTTATCAATTAGAGCTAAGAATTTCTGTCCTAGTTTAATACTAACCATTTGGTTGAACGGAGGGGTGTACCAAATGATATTTCTATTCCTGTTTTTTTTCTTATGGCCAGTGCAATCGTCTCTATAGTTAATGTTAGCATTTTTATAACCACTATTTTTTAGGGCAGTGTTATAGAAGCCATTGTGTTGTTGGAATATTTCCTTCTCAGCGGAGTTAATGCTTTTATTTTTCTCTATGGTTGGTATGTGTTGCCTGGTAAGTCTAGAGTTACGTCGAGGAAGTTTACCCTTTTCAAATTAGAAGAGACAATTATTATAAGTTTAGTTTTTTCACTAAATATTATTTTTCTGATTTTGTCTATCTTAAAACTAGAAGAACTCCTCACCACCATGAGCCCGTCATCTCTATACAGTCCGATGTCCTTAATATCAATTTCGCGGTGTGCGGTTAAGTTGTACTGTATTAGAAGACCAACAAGGTCAGAAGACTACGCAGAGTCTAATGATCCCAGAGTGATGTCAAACAGGTCGTTATTGTTTTTATCCATTGCTCCCCATTATGAATGGGGACCGATTTCTTTGCGCCGAGGATTATATCTTTTTCTTCAAAGTCCAGGGCAGTCGTAAATAGATCCTTCGAAATTGATGGGTAGTAATCCACGATATCGAACTGTATTAGGGTGCAATTCGGTTTATCATCAATATAGTTAAACCAATTGATGATATCTTTAGTATTGATCCATAATTTTAATTCCAGTTTTTTTTTTATTTGGCAGGTAATTTTTTCCAGGATCCTTTTCACAAATATATATATATATATATATATATATATATATATATATATATATATATATGTGTGTGTGTGTGTGTGTGTGTGTGTGTTTTATATATATTTATATATTTCTGATCACGAAGGTATCTTAACGTAAACAATGACAACATATTATGAAAAGTCCTATATCAGACAAATATTTTAATATATTTTTTGTTCATACGTCATTTTATAGATACAAATACTCTGTTTATAATAAACAGTATTAAAAACATTTCTTGGCCTGAATGTCTGGCAAATTTCAAAGAATATGTTTTTTGACAAGAATCGAACCTGTTTCCTACACGAACCCGCCATATCGCCTGATGTGCTATAACATTTTGAAATTTTTCGGACACTCAGCAGGTAAATGTTTTTAATACTGTTTAATATAAACAGACTATTTGCTTTAATATTTATAGGTATAAAAACAACGTATATATATATATATATATATATATTAAAATAATTATCGGACATTAGTCCATTTCATAATACATTATGTTATTTTTTTACGTTAAGTTACACTTCGTGCAGATATGAGCGTTCGAGACAAATCATGAAAAGTTTGTTGTTCAAAAACAGTAATTTAAACTTGCTAACCAGACCTTTCCTCTGTGGGTAAATGGTATAGCACGTCAGGCAATATGGCGGTTCCATTTACGATAGAGATTCGATTTCTGTCGGAGGACACATATTTTCAGAAATTTCTCGGATACTCAGGTTGGTAAATGTTGTTAATACTGTTTATTATGAACAGAGAATTTACTTAAATATGTGTATCTGTAAATTAACGTATAAACAATATATATATATATATATATATATAGTAGGATACAGATCTCAATCTAACTTGCTTCACTTTTTATTAATATAAATGTATATATATATATATATTAAGATGGAAATAATAAAAAGCAATGACCAATCATATTTTTCTCTAATAAGACTTCTCAAATATTATACGAAAAAAACTGAATAGAAACTAAAAGATACATTTAGTACACTCAAAATAGTATGAGTTAATAAATATTTTTCCATTTCTTAAATATCTGTTTTTAGAAGGGAAATATGGTTAATCATTTTCTGTAGGGATATTTCATTTTTCATAGCAGACAATAAACAGTTGTCTGAAATTTCAAAGTTTTCAGCGCGTTATGGGACCTTACCCATAATAACATAATGGACTATTCCCTACGTAATAAATACTGCGCCTCAAGAGGAAGCAGGGAGTCCATTACTAAGTCGGACGACCGGTTGACTGGCTGATCGGTTGAACTCTCTGCCTTCGGGCGGGGAGGAACGCGATCGAGGCTACGCCGAAGGGCGGAGTCTCTTTCGGGGAGGTAAACCGAGCCTGAACCCATTTATACGGGTTCAAAAGGCTTGTTTTTGGCCGAGCGCACGGGCTCGCGGTTCCCATGTGAAACCGGCCTTGTGCCACATGATGCCCTCGTGGGGTGGGGTGACGAAATAACGTTCAGTCTGAAGTCGGGCGACCGATTGACTGACTGATCGGTTGAACTCTCTGCCTTCGGGCGGGGAGGAACGCGATCGAAGCTACGCCGTAGGGCGGAGTCTCTTTCGGGGAGGTAAACCGAGCCTGAACCCGTTTATACGGGTTCAAAGGGCATGTTTTTGGCCGAGCCCACGGGCTCGGGGATCCCACGTTAAACCGGCCTTGTGCCACATGATGCCCTCGTGGGGTGAGGTGACTAAATACCGTTCAGTCTGAAGTCGGGCGACCGCTTGTCTGGCTGATCGGTTGAACTCTCTGCCTTCGGGTGGGGAGGAACGCGTTCGAAGCTACGCCGAAGGGCGGAGTCTGTTTCGGGGAGGTAAACCGAGCCTGAACCCGTTTATACGGCTTCAAAGGGCATGTTTTTGGCCGAGAGAGATCCCACGTTAAACCGACCTTGTGCCACATGATGCCCTCATGGTGGGGGTGAGTAAATACCGTTCAGCTGAAGTCTGGAGAGAGGTCCGTCAGGAGTCTGTAGTGTCAGTCAAATCGAGCGAGCCAGTCAGTCGAGTCAGAGGCAGTCCGAAACAGAGTCGTGGTCAGACAATTACTACTACACCTGATTGTTCGTACTAACACTTTCTACTTCTCTGTATATATTCCTGTTTGTAATATATCTGTGTTATTCCATATCCGTGGTCGAGTTCTTCTTTATTGGTTCTATCTTGGATTATTACCGTGGTACACGGAACCGGACCATACACAGCGCGTTTGTGCTAACGCCCCTGATTGGTTAATATTGGGTAGAAGCGTTGGTTGGTTGATACAAAAGATGACTTGAAAGATGGGCTCTAAGAAGAAAACGAGACGGGCATAGTGGAATCGAAAAAGAGATATACTGATAGAGAAATATTGTTTTATTGAGATAAAGCTTATATTTAAACGCTATCAAATTGCGAATATGGAGGGATAATCACCTGGCTTATACTTGTGCCCCTTACCCCCGTACCCTCTACCTCGAGTGTCTCTTGTGCCTTGTGAGCATTACTGTAAAAGAAAAGAAAAAGGAGAATCCGGCGAATGAGAGATAAATAGATAATTTATGTTCTTCTGACAGGGAAAATTATTTGAAAAGGAATTAACTAGAAGACCATGGGGAAAGTGAGGATAAATGAATGACAGAAAGGGAAACAGAGAGGGAGTGAGAGAGAGAGGGAGAAGGAGAGATATAGATAGAAACATAGAGAGTGAAAGATAATGAGAAGAAGAAAGGTGAAGGGGGGAACGATATGAATGTAAAGTGAGATAGAAGATGATAAATCGAAGACACAAAAGGAAACAGAGAGAGAGAGAAAGAGAGAGAGATATAAAGAAAAAGGAAGAGGAGCCAGAAGGAGAGATGTAGATAGAGACAAAGAGAGTGAAAGATAATATGAAGGAGAAAGGTGAAGGGGAGAACGACTTGAATGCAAAATGAGAGAGAAGATGATAAGTAGAAGATAGAAAGGGAAAAAAGAGAGAGAGAAATAAAGAGAGAGGGGAGAAGGAGAGATATAGATAGAGCAAAGGGAGTGAAAGATAATGTGAAGAAAAATGGTGAAGGGGAGAACGACTTGAATGCAAAATCAGAGAGACGATGATAAGCAGAAGACAGAAAGTCAAGCAAAGAGAAAGGGAGAGGGGGAAGGAGAGATATAGATAAAGACATAGAGAGTGAAAGATAATGAGAAGAAGGAAGATGAAGGGGAGAACGATGTGAATGTAAAATGAGAGAGAAGACGATAAGCGGAAGAGAGAAAGTCAAACAGAGAGAAAGGGAGAGGGGGAAGGAGAGCTATAGATAGAGACATAGAGAGTGAAAGGTAATGAGAAGAAGGCAGGTGAAGGGGAGAACGATGTGAATGTAAAGTGAGAGAGAAGATGATAAGCCCAAGAGAGAAAGTCAAACAGAGAGAAAGGGAGAGGGGGAAGGAGAGATAGATAGAGACATAGAGAGTGAAAGGTAATGAGAAGAAGGCAGGTGAGGGGAGAACGATGTGAATGTAAAGTGAGAGAGAAGATGATAAGTGGAAGACAGAAAAGGAAACAGAGAGAGAGAGAGAGACAGAGAAATATAAAGAGAGAGAAAGAGGGTCCAGAAAAATAGAGATGTAGATAGAGACAAAGAGAAAGAAAGATAATGAGAAGAAGAAAGGTGAGAGGGAGAACAATGTGCATGTGAGAGAGAAGATGATAAGTAGAAGAGAGAAAGGGAAAAAAGAGAGAGAAATAAAGAGAGAGGGGAGAAAGAGAGATATAGTTTGGGCAAAGGGAGTGAAAGATAATGAGAAGAAAAAAGATGAAGTGGAGAACGGTGTAAATGGAAAGTGAGAGAGAATATAATTGTAATACAGAAATGGAAACAGAGAAAGAGAAAGAAAGAGAGAGAGAGAGTGGGTAGAAGGAGAGATATAGATAGAGACAAAGAGAGTGAAAGATAATGAGAAGAAGAAAGGTGAAGGGGAGAACGACGTGAATCTAATGCTTTTCAATAAAAGTTATCGCATAGAGAAAGAGAAATTTTGAAGTCGAACGGCAAATAACTTCATCATTTGTTGTCCGATAAAAAAAAAGTGACTCGCAAGAAATGGCAATATAAAACTCACCGCTTTCTTAGAATTACTAAAGGACGGATTAAATACACCGCGAAGTTCATACCATGATTTCTCGTACCGACCAGTCTGGCTGTAATGTTATTTGATGGTCATGTTTTTGACTCGATGTCTTGCAGACAAGAAATGGTCGAAAGTGTGTAACCCAGGACACTACATCAAAAAGCCTGTCTATTGAAAAGTGACCCGCAGGTCAAAAAGCACTCTAAGCTGGCCAAGGGCCAAAGTTTAGGTAACATTGCTGCCACCGCCTCCAACTTTGCCGCCATCTACGGGATAACTCGGCAACAAACGATAGTTTGGCTGCAAATGAAATTTAATGGACGGTCATTTTTGTTCACATTGTGAATGCCTCAAGTTGTTTATTTCGCGAATTGACGAGACGACAGGTTGATGATGGAGGCCTCTTGACCTACGAGAGGCTGATGACTCGCCACGAAAGGAAATAGGGGTTAGGTAGACAGAATGACAAATGGAATGGTGTGGCTTTTGTTAGAATGCGACCTTCTGTAATAGGCGCCATAGGTTGATTATGCCGACAAAACACTCCAATCAAATTCGAATGAACCACATATACATTGAAAGGTTTAAATTAATTTAAATTCAACAGACAAAGGGACAATTATATATATATATATATATATATATATATATATATATATATATATATATATATATATGTGAGTGTGTGTGTGTGTGTCTGTGTGTATACACACACAAACATATATTGTGTGTATTTAGGCATCAAATTATCTTTAGGCATTTCTGATTAAATGACTTACAGAAATTGTCTGCTTATTTTTAGCACAATCCGTGCATATTCAAGGATATATTTCCATGTATTACAATCAAATAATGCAAGAAATGCACTGTAAGAGTGAAAATCGCTATTATTTCCAAAGTACTTTCCATCTCTTTCTGAGATCATCATCATGGTTTCAAATGGTATGGCAAAAACTATGTGCAGCTATTCATTATTGTCTTTTTTTGGCATTTAAATGTAATGGTTGAGAATTATGCTATTAGAATGTAATAAAATTATCCACTACGGAATTTTTTCTTTTATGTTGGAATGTCATGGTCGTGTAGAATACCGGTTCGATTCCTGTCGGATGACAAATATTTTCTATAAAATCTCTCGGACATACAGGCAGGTAAATATTATTAATACTGTTTATTATAAACAGAGCATTTACTTAAATATTTGTGTCTATATAAATAACGTATAACAATAAAATATATTAAAATAATTGTTGGACTTAATCCATTTCAATATATATATATATATATATATATATATATATATGTAAGGAATTAATAGAATTATTTTTTATACTAAATTGTTTATTACTTCAAACATGATTGCAGTGGACAGTCGTGTTTGAAGTAGATGCCCCATTTATATTTTTGTTTTAGACAGTCAAGGAATGTCAATTAAATAATGTGATTATTTTTACTAGAAACGACATGCCTGCTCAGGCCAGTAGATCGTAATGCACCCTATTTGAAGCTAAAAATTAAAATAAATGTGGCTTCTATCCAAGTGTCCTCTCTAATAAAGTTTTAAGTGATATATATATATATATATATATATATATATATATATATATATATATATACATATATATATATATATATATAATAGATAGGAAAAGATAATAAGAAGGCATTTTTAAAAAGCAAAAAGCCAAAATAAAACTAACGGTTTCGTCCTAGGACTTATCAAGTTATTTATTCTGAGAATTTAAAAGCGTGTAAATTAATTTTAATTAACGAATGTAATTAAATGGGGAGAGAAAAAAAAATTATGAATTTCAAGGAGCCTAGAATCCAATAATATTCAGACCCAGCAGCAAGCATTCCCTCTGTTTACAAAGGGAAGTCTCACGAGATCTGATATACAAGGACTCCAGGACCTTGAGGTGAAATGTGGAGTGGGACCTCGATAAAATAATAAATCGGTCACCACTAAAATGTTCCACACATTTCCTTCTATTTATTAAATGTTCAGCAATAGCAGAACCAGAACTGTTAGTCAGTTGGCTATTCCTAGAGGACGGATTCAAAATCCTGGAACGTAAATGCTGTTTTATTCTCGAATCCAAACGCTAGGACGTCCTACCTATGTAGTCATGTCCACAACTACACTTGTATTGGTAAATCACTGAATTAACATGATGGGGAGGTAGGACATCCTTAAGAATGGAAGAGGAAGCAGGACGGGTAACAAATATTATCCTAACATTTGCCGAAAAATAACAACTATTGATTAAACGTGAAATACGTTTCGATAAACTTTCACCCTCTGTAACAATATAGGGAAGTCGCAAATAAACTGGGCATTTATCAGCGAATTGCGGCTTCACCCTATGGAATTTACTGATGACGTCTTGAATAACGGAGTCTAAAACATCCAACGGATATCCGTTTTTTGATAGTGTCATTCTAACCAAGTCAATTTCCCCGCAGAGAAAACCCCCAGAACATAACTTAAGTGCCCTGTGAATTAAGGACTTAATTAAATTAATCTTACGTTGTCTGGGACAAAAAGAGTCCCAACGCGTGTAAAGCCCCGAGAAAGTGGCCTTCCTAAATACAGAAGTCTCAAACTTGTCAGCAGTCTTATGGACAAAACCATCCAAAAAGGAAAGACAAGAATTAGACTCCATCTCTACGGTGAACTTAAGAGCCAGATGGACAGAGTTTAATTTGGTGAGAAATTTGTCTGCTTCAGCCTCATTATTAAAGAGGTAGAAGGTATCATCCACATAACGATGATACATAAGAGGACGACCAATACAAGTAAATAAGGAAGCCTCGTGAAAACCGACAAAAATATTCGCCAACGCTGGACCCAAAGGCGAACCCATAGCTACCCCGTCGATCTGTCGATACATAATATTATTAAAACAAAATTCTGCAAGAAATAGTGGACAATTTCCATATGATTTTAAGTCTGAAACACAATGCTGCAGAAATTAAGAAAAAGAATGTGCATTGATACAATTAAAATACAAATGTACAAAAAGGAGAATAAACTCTTTTCTCAAATTGCCTCTAGGAAATAACTGTCTATTCAAAAATAAAAAAAAAGAATATTATAAGTGTGCTAAATGAGGATGTATAAAGTCACAATGCAAAACAAAACCAAGAAAAAAATCTCATTGGAGGAAGTTCAGAATTGCGACGGTAAAGATGGTCACAGAAAACCAGTAAATTTGGGAATGTGAAAATAAACAATGTGGATGTGAACGTGTTACCGGGTACTGGTTATGATATTTCAATAATCAGTGAAATCACATGAAAGGGAATAGGAAAACCTTTATTAATATGGACTTCGAAAGTCGTGATTGAAGTTTCTGCTGCGAATGTTTTTTTTTTTTTGTTGAGAAATGACTTGTGATGTCACATTCCTTAATAAGCATGCACAAACTAAAGATTATGCATTAAAAATGCTACGAATTTATTCGGTACTGACTGGATGGAACTATTGGAACTTTTGGATTTGCCGATAAACATTTATTGTAAAAACGTAAGTGGACAAGTGGCCAATTTAAAAAGTCAGAACAAAGGAAGATTAAAGAAGTTGTTTTGTCAAATGAACTGGGTCAGTGTTCAAAATTCAAGGTGGATTTTCAAGTAAAATAAAATCAGTATTTAAACTTAAGCGGAACGTGTCATTCACAACATTGGAACAAGTCAACGAATATTTGTACAGACTCGAAAGAATTGGTTTGATCGAAAAAATTAACCATTCAAAATGGGCTGCACCTGTAGTGTCTGTAAAGAATAATAATTCGTGTTTGCGCGAATTTACCGACAGAATTAAACAGTAGTTTAGAAACACGTTACCAAGCCCAGAGGAAATTTTTGAAGTTAATTGGCGGAAGAATATATTCAAAGTTGCATCTCTGAAGCATATTTACAAATTCAGATTGAAAATGAATGCTCATGATTAACGACCATAAATACGCATAGAGATTTATATAAGTTTTCATATAAAGGTGAAACCAGCTATTTTTTTATCAAGCTATGGATACTATGATTACGGATTGATGACATTTTCATCAAAAAGTGTATCTAAGAACTACCTGTTGGGCATGTGAAAACAATTCTGAAAAACGAAGAGGGTACAGATTCAAGCTAAGGGAAGAAAAATGCAAAATGTTTTTGCCGGAAATTACATACCATATTCAAATTATTGGTAAAAATGGTTGTCAACCAGATCCGACGAGGGCAAATGCAATTAAAAATATGCTTACACTAACAAACGTGACCACTTTACTAGCTTTTCTAGGACTGGAAAATTTGCTATCAAATATATGTACATAATATGCATAATTTCAGAGTTTCAATGAACGATCTAATTAAAAAAAGGAATAAAGTGGAAATGGAATGAAATCTATCAAAAGGCGTTTGACGTAATAAAAACAATACTTACTTCAGATTTATCATTAGCACACTACGATCTAAAAGTAGAAATTGTGGTGGTGTCAGATCCTCGTGAGTATGTACTGGTATGATGATTTTACATACTTAAGATGGCGGTAAAAATGAAAGCCTTCGTTCATGCTTGCTTCTAGAAGCAAAGAAAAATTACAACCAGGTAGAAAAAGAGGCTCTTGCAATTATATTTGCTGTGAAGAAATTTCATAAATTTATTCATAGAGGAAGTTTTAATTTGCATACAGCTAGCAGACCACAACGCTGGGTTACCACCTTATTAAACTATGATGTTACGATGGAGTACCATTTGTATAAAAGATTAGGACAACGTAGTACGAGAGTTACTAATTACCCTGAAAGTAATAAAATAAAAGGCGGGAAAACGCGTCTTTATTGCAAAAAGCAATTAAAAGTTACAAAGAACAAAATCCAGACTTAAAAGCTTAATCGCTATGCAACGGTCTAGTTATGTTCAATCAAATGGTTCTAATAAAATAGTGTGTTACAAAAGCAAATACTGAAGTATTTTCATAGAGGATATCCTGGTATTTCATGATGCAAACTTTAGTAGAAAGTAAATTGTAAGCAGTGAGTGTGGGTTACACAAGATGGACTAAAAGGACCCAAATGACAGATATTTTATTATAAAGTTATTATTAGCTCTTTCAGTTTTGATAAATATTTACCAGCATATAGATTATATAAAATGCATAAATTAAACAAAAATTTTACTAATTACATCATAATTCAGAGAATATATTCCATATCTGAATTGGTGGCATTAAAATTCAATATTGAAAATCCTAATCAAAAACCTATATCATCTTGAATTTATATTAAATTGTCAAGTCTTATTTTTTTACTTCCTTTGTTGGTTCCAATCCCTATGGGGAATGACTGCAAAACACTCCCCAATTTATAGGTAGAAACACACAAATGCATGCTGAGAGTTCTTCCTAGCCCAATAATGATTTTATAACATATTTATGTTATAATTTTCGAATAAATTATGCTACAGGTTTAATTAATTACAGATTCTGTAAAATCTAATAAATTTGGTTATCTACAAGAATGTATTTTATTTGCAATTTATCTCAGGGAAAATATTTTCCAAATAAAGTTAATACCTAATGAAATCAGTAGAGCTTATAATATTGATAATTCTATTTTCATATATAATTAAAGAGATACTTTGAATGAAAGTCAGTGTGGAGACAATTCTGACGGAGATTTTCAGTTTAAAATCTTGGTTATCGCGGATAGAGATTTTTTGAAACATTTATAAAGTCAGCATATCATAGAATGCAGAGACGGCTGTCAGATTTTGCCGAAATCTAATTTTTTTTTCAGATTAAATACAGGTTGTCTGAAAAGAAACTTAGGTATTAAAAATATCGTAACGTATTTCATATATTTGTTTTTCCAGAGCTCGGAGATTTTAGCAGTTGATCACAATCATAAAGCTTTATTTTGGATTCACGAAATATTTGTTCACCGGATAATTTGCGACCTTTCGAAATGTTATGACCAGCACGTTCTCATGATTTGACGCATCCCGATTAATTTAATTGAGGATCCGTTAAGGAGCGCGTATACATCAATAAATGACAGCTAATTCAGAAACGACAGGATAACATCTGTGCAGAAATTTGAGGGCTGTTAACCACTGTCATTTAGAATGCTATTGAAAGAGAACAAATATTGGAAACACGGGAATTTTCATAAAGTGGAATATTTTTCAGGTTTAGATTTTTCATTATGTATAAATCTATTTTTAATAATAAGAAATGTAGAAATTACGAGATTTTTAAATAGATGTGGATATAATGAGATCGATAGATAGATATGAACAAAGTGACTATAGATAGATAGATAGATAGATAGATAGATAGATAGATATGAATGTGCCGTTAATCCAATGACTATTTCATGACTCTTACGAGTATTCATCTGTACAATTGTCATATTCCACTTATATTACATATATAGATAAGAAAAGACTAAGATAGATAAATAGCTAGTAAACTAGCCATATATGTAAGTTGTTTCATATCTATTTACCTATGTCAGATATGAAAACACTGGGATAGATAGATTGATAGATAATCAAAAGACTGAGATAGATAGATAGATAGATAGATAGATAGATAGATAGATTAGAAACGGAATGATTAATTCAAAAATCGTACAACTCATACAGCAATCGCTATCACATGACTTAAAATATTTTTGCCCTTCCTTGCCTTTAAAGGAGTGCCCTTTGTCGTGCTGATGTTGCCACATGCCTTACTTCTTGCCTATCTCACACTGCGATTTTTTTTCTAAAAAAGTATGTTGACAACAAATACTTTTTCACACCCAACACAGTTCTGGGGAATCAGAATCAACGTTGAGTTTAAGCAAGAGAATGAGGCAATTAGAGTAAAGTGCCATGCAGATTTAAATTTTTCCCACTTTTGACGAATGTAGCTATCAAATTTTTTGCATGCTAGTTAACATTCGTATCAGTCAGGTGTTGGCTCTCATTCTCGCCAGTAGAAAATGGTCACAAACTACATGAAAACTGCCGTAGAACCATGAAAAATCGATTATTTCAACTATCGATGGGAGTTGGGGAATGTAAAGTCGGTCTTGGCCTTCCCGCTAACTTGGAGCATGTGCATGTAAATTTTGGTGTAAATCCGTCGAAAATTTCGGTCGTGCATTCGTTACACACACACACACACACACACACACACACACACACACACACACACACATATCCTGCATTTATATATATATATATATATATATATATATATATATAGAGAGAGAGAGAGAGAGAGAGAGAGAGATAGATAGATAGATAGATAGATAGATAGATAGATAGATAGATAGATAGATAGATATAAATAATATAGAAAGAAAGATGAATAGTTATTTGAAGAAATGTATTCAGATATATCCTTAGACAGACCATATCTCTTTCAAGAAATAAAGTGTTAAAACATTACCGAAAATTAATGCAGAAATAAAAAATAAAACTGCCAGTTGCATTTTCTCAATAATGACACATGCCGGATGTAGGCAAAATGGCGAGAACTGCGAATCACCGGAACCGGAAAGAGAGAGCTCAAACTAGATTATATGTTAGCGCTACTCGAAGCCATTTTTCATCGAGTCTGCTACATCATGAGGCAGGCGAATAGCATAGGCGTACAATAAGAACTTAACCTTATTTTAATCTGAAAAGCTACAAAAACACAAGTGGTTACATAGTGTGAAAGAATAAGATAAATGAGAAGCATTATTAATTTAATTTTTGTAGATAAATGCTGGTTGAAAAACATGGAGCCGAAAAGAATTCCACGTGTAGGGGATGTGAGAAAAGAAACTGTTAACATAGAACTTACGGTTAAATCTAGCCAATTCAGCTCTTAAATTGATGAGACCTAACCGCCAATCTAGTATTATAAATCCATAGTGTATGTGCAATAGCGTAGAGTTAATGTGAAAAAAATATCATGAAAGTATTTACTGAAAAGCTAGAGAGAAACTGCATAACCGTTGTGAAAAAAATGACTGAAGACGAGATGCCAGGTCAGGACTAATAATATTGCAGATATTTCTTTGGATTTTATCAGACATCCGAAGCACCAGACTATATGTGGCAGCAATATTCAAAGCATGTAACCAAGGGTAGACTTCTAAAAATGTAAGATAGATTCACGAGAGGAAAAAAAACTGTCTTCCACGACACAATAAACCAAGTTACTTAGCAGCAGGCGCAGCAATGGTTCAATATAACCTTTCCACTTTATGTCAGACGAGAATGTGAGCCTGGAAAGGTCAAACGATTCATTCTCATGAACATTAGCATCAGCCATAGACAGACAAGCAGTTAGTCATAGTCTTATCAGTTTTTTACAACACCTGTACGTGCATTTATCCATACTTCATCCTTATACACACTGCACACACACCACTTTTCATCCAGCCTCTATGGAAAGAAACTGGTCAATTAATCACCAATATATGAGAAGATAATCAAGCCGTGATAAACCGTGGAAAATGAGAATTATCTTTTACTCTTATGGAGTGGCAAACTATGGCGGTCGTGCAGAAAATGATGACACACGTTTAAATGGTAAACATGGACACAACAGCAAGTCAAGAGACGCCTGGTTGTCGGCAATCTAGGAAATCGTTGGGTACATTTTCTTTCAAGTAGTGTCAGGATATATTTTCTTTTATCCATTTCAATGGAAGACCGTTGATTGGGACAAGGGTTGTATAACGAATATTAATGTTAATTTTTATCTGTTCCTCACTAAATCACCTAGGGGTCAATGGACACCAGGTTAAGTAGCCCTCAGTAACTAAATCACACAAATATTGTTCCAGATACTAAAGCTTCACATCTGTATTCATCAGAAGTACAATAGATACTATAATACCACAGTCTCTTTATAAATTCTTAAGTGGTCCAATATATACAATTTGTATATGCAACTAGTAGCATTGCTCGGCGTTGCCCGTGCTTGATTCAAAAATACAGCAATCGCTATCACTTGACTTAAAATAGTTTTGCCCTTCCTTGCCTTTAAAGGAGTGCCCTTTGCCGTGCTGATGTTGCTACATGCCTTACTTCTTGCCTATCTCACACTGCGAATTTTTTCTAAGCTCTATACTAAACCATTAAAAGAACTAAACAAAATGAACACAAAACGATCAGCTTTAAAAAGGACTCGTAACTGGAAAAACCGAATGAAAAAAGAATGTTAACAACAAATACTTTTTCACATCCAACCCAGTTCTGCGGAATCAGAATCAACGTTGAGTTTAAGAAAGCGACTGAGCCATGCAGATTTAAATTTTTCCCACTTGTGAAGAATGCAGCTATTGATTTTTTTTTTGCATGCTAGCATGCTAGTTAACATTCGTGTCAGTCAGTTGTTGGCTCTCACGCTGGCCAATAGAATCTTCCTGCCTATTCGTGGCGGCCTATAGCTGGCTGCCACGAATAGGGAAAACATCGATTATTTCCACTATCGATGGGAGCTGGGAAATACAATGTCGGTCTTGGCCTTCCCGCTAACTTGGAGCATGTGCATGTAAATTTTGGTGCAAGTCCATCGCAAATTGCGGCCGTGCATTCGTTACACACACATTCTGCCTTTTATTGATAGAGATTATCTATTTGTGCAGCAATCTCTCTTTTATATAAGTTTCATTAAAAACTATTGGAAAGGTCCGGCGGTTAATTTTTTTATTTCATTTCTCTTGTGTTCTTATAATTTCATTTTATTCTGAACATAAATTATGTAGAAATTGTACGAATGTTTTTAAAGAAACTTGTATAAAAGAATAATTGCGCCAAATACACAATTATTAAATTACATGATCCGGCAACCAACTAGACAATTACAACTAAAACCTTAATATATATATATATATATATACTAGCAGTAGAGCCCGCCGTTGCCCGGGGATGTAACAGTAAGAGATAGATCAAGTATCGACCATCATAAAGACTGAAAAATAAAATTGACAAAGATTATTGTTTAAGGTTGATGGATACGCATGTCTTAATTAGTTTTTTGTTTGTTTTTTGTTTTGTTTTTTTTACAAATTGGTCAAACCTAAACTCAAACAAAAACATTGTTTTCAATCGTTATGAGTGTATTGATTGAATAGAATTTTATTATCAACAATTGTCTTGTAAATGGAATTTTTTAAGCATTCTGAATGTAAAAATAAAGAAAAAAGTGTGCAAGAAACAAGAAACACTACCTGCCAAAAAAAAAGTGAAGTTTTGTTGAAATCAGTTGAAAAATGTAGGAAATCCGATCCCATATATAAACGAATACACACACACACACACACACACACACATACACACACATCTACTGCTCTACAGCAGTGCTTGTTAATCTGCTGTCGATAAACGGGTTTCAGTTGGTCCGTAAGAATCAAATAAAAAATAACTTTTATATTCAAAGGTTTCCAGTTTAAAGGACTAATATAAAATACACCCTTCCACTGCTTGAAAAATAGCCACTATTTACAATGACTTATCTTTACTTACTGTTCTGTCCATATTCACCATTTAAACGTGTGTCATCATTCTCTGTACGATCGCCATATTTTGTCATTCCATAAGAGCAGGTGATAATTCTCATTTTCCATAGTTTATCAAGCCTTGACAGGAAATTTTGTAGTACCTTAAGATAGGTAGGGGTATGAGAGACTATGTGAAAAAGAATATAATATGAAGGAGATAACTGTATAAAAACAGGCATTTAGAAGACAGAAGATAACGATTGCCATATATTAAGTTGAATTATAATTAATTTCAGTTTTCTGTTGCTAGTTACATTAAAAAATACATCATCGTAACTAACCTTATATTAATATATCGTAATTGATATTGCACGTGACAAAGTTCAATGCGAAGGGTAGTGGATTGACGAGTGTAAAATCTTCATAGCGAGCCGAATATGTGATCTCTATAGAAGGAATTTAATATTGTGCTTGTGTTTTTCTTTTCATTTTATGTGCCATGTCTCTACAGGACGTAGGGGATCATGGCTCTCCATTTCCCCCTATCCCTTGTAGCTTTCAATAAGTTTTGTTCATTTGCTACTTCCCCCAGGCTATTTTCTGTTCATCCATTTGCGTAAGCCCGCTAGCTATGTCATTCATTTCTTTCCCCAAACAGCAGCAAAGTTTGGATGACTACGCCGCCTTCGGCCTGCAAACGAAATCTGAAACAGCCTCGCTTCCATTATTATTCGCGCGGCCATATGTAAAAATCATTTCTGCCTGCTAACGATATGAATATCCTGCCATAGTTAAACGAAACACTTCTCAGTTAACACACTACTACACGCGTTAAACATTGAAGACTAACTAGGTACAACAGTACACGAATAACAAATATAACCTAGTCTACATGTCAACACAGCGTCATCTTCCGAAAACTTTCTTTAAACTTAATGACTCAAAAACGAAGGATTTGCGGATATATGATTGTGAACTTTTTGTCCTTGTTTTGGTATCATGACCCCGCCTCCAAAGTTTGTAAGTATATATTTGATATATTTTTGTATATACATGGTCCGATGGATAAATTGTCGTCTAAATTACGCAAGAATGAAAATACCACTGACATCTCGTTTTAACATATATATTTACCACGATTACATAAAAATAATTTGAAAGGGTAAAGAGTAAATTTATTAAATAAAACGCCATTGGCTTGAACCACAGCTTCCAGGCGATTTTGGAATCCTCTGCAACTTTTCTGGGCAGTCTCTTTATTTAATTTGGTGAATGCTGCAATAATTGATGTCTTTATACATCATCTTTGCTGTTACATGAAGATTTGTTGGTCGTTCGCTCAACTGCACCTCGCACATAATAATCAAGGAGGTTGTAACCTGGGGAGTTAGGTAGCTAGGTGTAAGGGGTGATGTTGTTGCCGAAATTGTCTGACGGCCATGACTGGGTTTTACTGATTGTGTGGCGTGGTGCAGAATCCTGTTGCCAGACTTAGGTTCCTCCAGCACCCAGCCTCTTTACCCACTTTTGCACACCGTGTTGTTTCTGTGCATCTCACCAAAAAATTCAGGGTACTTTTCTCATCAGAAAGCTCAGAGTGAGTTTTCTGAACTCCCGTACCTTCGTAATCATACTTAGATTCATACAACTCTCTCTTAATCCTCTGCTATGTCCTTAGATTGATACCAAAAGACTCTGAAATGTTTGTATTGCAGCTTTCGGTGTGAATGCTAAGCAATACAGCATGCCGTTCCCAAATATCTGGCCGAGTTTATTGCGTCATAGTGCTCTCTTTCTCACAAACGGTGCCCAACTGACCCTACTATACTGTACATCGAGAAAATCAAAATCAAACATGCGCGAAATTAAAATTATAAAATGGCGACAATTTACCCATCTCACCCTTGTTGTGTGTGT